ATAAAAATGAAACAACTGAACGGACACAAACCCTAAAGATTCTTGAAGTAACTCATAATCAAATTTACATGTAAGCACGACTTACCTTCTAAATAACCAACATGTCATTTTTCTAGAAGTAATTTTTTTAAATATGTTTTTCATCCTCAAATTATTATAAAATTATATATTTTATCTTTAAATTTTATGAAAATAATGTAAAATATCATGTGAAAATTATATGTGAAATTTCATTTATTACAAGAAAAAAGTTTTACATGTATTTTGTTTAAAAAAATATTTTACATAATTTTTATAAAGTTTGAAAACGGAATAATTTATAATTTAATTTAAAAACTAAATACAACATTTTTTAGGAGTTTTATATATATATATATATATATATATATATATATATATATTTAACTATCATCCTTTAAACTCTATTTTCTTTGTTATTTTTCGACATATCTGCTGGAATTTTCCATTGTTTGTTGCTTAAGCCATGAACTTGCCTTTCTGTACAATCTATTTTTGCAAAGAAACCACCCTTTCGGTGAAGTTAGAGAAAATATTTGCACGAGCATTCATCTTTCTCTAATAGTGTGAAAGAGTAGAGATATTCCTTGTCCCATTCTTAAAATTTTCACCTTTTAGTTGAACTTATGTGATCATGCTTTATGGATTATCGTTTAACATCACATCAGGTAATGTAGTTTTTTTCAAAATCTCTGTTGAGATTGTAAAATCTTATATTACTTTCATATAAATAAAGATTCTCTAAAATATATATTCTAATTGATTTCTATGATTAGACAATTAGAAAAGACTAAATTATTGTGATTGGAAAGGAAAATATTTTGTTCAATTACAGTAATTGAAAAACTAACTATTAGAATCGGAAGTAAATCACTTTCAATATGGTCAGTGATTCTGAAATATATAAATCAAACTGAGGTGAGTGGTATAACACATTTTAGTTTTAGAGCCTTGTATGAACAAATATAACTAGGTTTCTTTGAGAAGTGTTGAATTCAACTTCACCCCATATGCTTCACTTAGCCATAACTGAAGGTTTTAGATAGAAACCTTTGCATTAACTTATTTAACTGACAAAAAAAACATGGTACTGAATGCTACACTGAGTTATTTTTCATGACATACATGAGTTGAAGTTGTGACAGTTGCAGTGCAGTCTCTTCTTCTCTTCCTGCCAGAAGTGTTGGGTTCTGGATGAGACCTTCCAGCCTCCAAGGGGAAATTCAATACAGCCTTTTGACCTCTCATTCTGAAGGCAGCACAATCATAAGCCTTAGCAGCATCAATTTCAGTGTCATACGTACCTAGCCACACCCTGCTTCCTTTTCTTTTGGGGTCACGGATTTCTGCAGCAAACTTCCCCCATGGTCTTCTCCTCACTCCTCTGTAACGCCTGGCCTCATAACAACATGTTACTTCCTTTTTCACTGGCAAAATTGGATCTGCCAAATCAGAATTCTTGAGTGGACTTGTAGCAATGGAGTTTTGGATATTATGATGAGAAGCGAGATCTGTCGGTTTTTTGTCTGCTTCAAAATCAAAGTATTCTAGAAACCTGCAGAAGTTGCTTTGTTCTGAAGAGTTTGAATCCAAATCAAGTTCTGATGAGGAGTCTTCAACTTTTACAGGGATGAGATTGGTGAGAAACGGGTCTGAAATATCTCCCAAGAGATATTGGCGCATCAGTTTCAGAGTTGAAATTTCTTCTTCTGTGGCCATCTTTAAGAAACAAGAACTGTTGAACAGGGTTCGTTTATTTGGGATGTATAAAAAGATAGAAACTATATATATATATACAGAGAGAGAGAGAGAGAGAGAGAGAGAGAGAGAGAGAAATCTGTCACTGAAAAAAGGGTCCCTATGGATACATCAGAATTGATTATCTAGTTAATGCGAGTGGAGACTTACACGGTTTTCACTCTGGAAGTACATAATCTTATCCAAATTAATGATCTTTCTATTTGGGTACACCCCACATTGAAGCAACAAAATTATTATTGGTTAGATGATCAACTTGGTCTTTGGCAGTTAGCAATACAGCTGGTTTGTACAAAGAGCAAATAAATCAAGTAAACCAATAGGAAGAAGAAACTTTACAACTTGTATGCAAAGAGTCAACAACATGTTTTTGGTTTGTTTCTTACTGATTTGTATACACTGGATTGCAAGCTAGAAAAAAGGCTGCTGTTTTAAATATATGATTCAACTTGTAACAAGACGATTAAGGACATTAATTTTGATATTTTAGACAAATCACATCAAAACGTTGAAGTATTGTCTTCGACGTATACTTTATACACTTGCTGTGGTTTAGCTAAAACCACCATAGCAGAAGATATCTTATAGGTATTATCTCTAAATCTACAGATATAATTTAGTTTTGTGCAAGTGTCCTGCAACTGTACCACAGTACCATAGACAAAAGTCAACAGCGTTTCCCAAAATCATTTTTTTCTGATTAAAAGAAAAGAAGTAAAGCAGGAATTTCACTTTTTGAACACAAGACTGACACTCTTCAACCATATCATCAATCTGATGTATGTTAAAGTGTAAAAGTATACTTACCTTGATTAACACAAGCACGCTCGTAAATCACTTGCATTCACAAGGATAATTACTGAATGATGTTATTGTTTTTCTTACGAATAGTAAAATGTGCAGACACGTGACTGAATTTGATTATTTAGCATAACTGGACTCTTGTAAGATGAGTACGCCTACTGAAGGGAATGATGCATCTATCTGTCTCTTCTAAAATAATTGGAGTTATAAAGCACTTCCATTCAAATTAGGTTCCTATTTTATGTTAGCAACTTTGTAAACTATTCTTATTTTTTATTTTGCAAAAATGATTCAATATTTACTTTCTATATGGGAGTTTCCCAATCTTTCTCACTCTCTTAGTTGCTTCTTTCTAGTTTTAGAGTTTATTTTAATCAATCATTGAAAATAAAAATGACCTTTTAATTTTAACTTAATTTTAAATTATAAAACTAAAATAAAAACTACTGATTATTTAATATAAATTAATATTATTCCTCACTTAATGCTATACATGAATTTTATTTATTTATTTAAGATGTATTAAAATGAGTGAAAAAAAACTAGGACTTTAAGCATCACCTTGTAAATTCTTATTATTAAAAAGGTATTTTTATCTAATACACAATTCATATGACTTTTTTTTTATTTCAAATTACAATAAACAAACAATAATAAATTAAGAATTTGTTCTTATCCATCAAATACATTTAAAAAAAATGGTTAAAACATGAATGAAATATAAAAGTTAGACATACATTTATGTAAAAGTTTGACAGTGACCGAAAGGAAAGAGGGTATTTAGAAGTACAAATTTCTTACGGTTACGCCACCACCCTAACACCCTAATCGTGCCTGCTGTCCTGTCTAAAAAAAGTTATTCAATTCTAATTTTCAACACGCCCACTTCCCTATTATAAAAGGCAATATCAGCTACCATATGTTACTGCATCATCCAAACATAAATCTGATCAATAAGATTCAATTCATTTAGTATCACAGAAATAGGAACGTAGAAGATAATTAAAATGTGATCAGATCCTATCTTTCATTCATTTTTCTCTATTTTCTTCTATCAAATACATTTAATTTTTATTTTATTTCTCGTTACCTTTATTTTTTTTACTCTGTTTTTTCTTCTATTAGGTCCATTCAGAGACTTAAAATATTGCCATGGATTAAAAAATCCCAGATCCATAGCATATCACTCCATAGTTATAGCATTTTAAAGATAAATAAAACAAAAGGCTAACATGAGACTTTCTTCTTTTTTTTTTTAATTTGTAAACACATTCTAGGCACGTAAAGTATTCGTGATTTGAGCAGAGGAGGTGTAGCGGAACTTGTGTGGTGGCCTGTATAAATTTTCAACATGTTGATTCTGATTTTCAACATGTTCACTTCCCAATTAACAAATGAATATGTAGTATCATCCCCCGTATGCTAAATGAATGTTAATGACAAATCAATTCTCAGAAATGAATCAATATCGATAAACCTGGATAGAGGTAATAATTATATAGTATTAGTTCATGACCTCTTTGTCAAATTTTTCTTGATCAGAGGAAACGAAACCTGGTTGATTCGTTGATAAAAGAAGTCTAGCCCACATCCTATCACTCAGCCTGACCGTTTTCTGCCTCTCAGTCACACGCTGCAACAAGATGTTCGGTGATCAGCTGGTGGTATATTATACAATGCAAGGAAAAACAAGCAAAATCATAATATGAGAAACGATGTAGAACAAAATCTCCGACAAAGTTAGAGACCTAACAGAAAGGACTAGTTGTATGGAGAAATTGTCAAATAATCAGTGTTTTTTCACTGAAGATATCCAATTATAAATAGCAAACAAAAATGCACCATGTTGTAAGGGCTTCAGTTTTCTTTTTGTGGTCAGATTGCGCAGGTAATTTCCGTGGAAAATTTATTTCCAGGGTTCAAATTTAAGAAATTTCATCAACGTCCTGGAACTTTCATAAAAAAAAAACTGGATATATTTGTGCCTGGCTGGCTGGAAGGCAAGCTTTCTTTTCTTCATCTCATCTTTTCTAATAGTTAGTCCTAGTTATACCAGTTCAATTTTTTTGCCCAAGAAAAAAGTCTCTATAAAGACTAATGTATGATCTTTTCCTTAATGCATGTAAGAATGAATCACTATTTTTATGTTTATTTTTTTGTAGAAAATTGCTAAAGGGAAAGAAACACGGCATGTCGTTAGGGCAGAATCCAGGTGGACGTTAGGAAAGCTCATTCAATATTTCATCCATTAGGAATTGTTGGTCTTTTGGATGATGAGTATGAATGCCGAGTCTGGACGGCATGTTCAATGTCTCAATTTAATAGCTATTCCAATATATTACTCTATTCCACAACCCTTGACATTTTAGTTTAGAAAAGTTTTCTTTTGAATTGTAGTATGTAAAAACTGATAACCTAGTGAATAAAACAACACAAGATATTTGAGTAGAACATCTATTGGTAATTAATAGAATATATAATTGTAACAGAAAATAACAAAGCAAACAAAGATACTAAAAGATTAAGCGTAGCACAATGTTTTGCAATGAGAGTAATTTACTTGAATTGAATATACACGAGTTAAGGAAATGAACCACTCACAGCAATTGGGATATAAGCATGTCTACCGTTCACAGGCCCAACTGTGAAGCCAGTGAATCCAGCCATAGCTCCATGGACAGCACCATGAGCAAGGAGAGTGCAGTAAATGTTGTCTGAGGCATTACTTGGAATAGCTCGAATCATGTACGTTGGATCTATGAAAGTAACAAACAAGTTTTATAAGGAAAATAACAAATTTCAAGATTTCAAGTAGAGCAAGCTGCTCCAAGATTAAATGATTTTAAATAAATTAGCGAATAATTACTACATCTCTAGAAGAAAAAGGTTAAAAAATGAAATAATTTTTTTTATACACTTAAATTAACTTATTCACGAGTTAAAAACAAGAATTTAGAGAAACCATAAGTAGGACTTCTACAAATTAGCTTATAAGTTACTTAATTTCTTTTCTTCTTATTTTTCTGTTCTATAAATAATAACGGAATTTTGTGTAAACAAAGTCTATAATGCTCTTAAAATTATTCTTGAATCCCTCTTTATACATACATACACACACATATCTCTCTCTCTCTCTCTCTCTCTCTCTCTCTCTCTCTATNACTTCCTTCATAAAAAAGATGATTATATTACATTATTCCATAAAGATAACTACATGAATGAGGGAATGGATTCAGTGCAGTGACAGTACCACAGCAGAGGATCTTAGCCTTTTATTAATATAACAATTTTATTATAAAAAAATAAAATAGTAAGTAGGAAGATAAGACCTGACAGTCTCATTTTTTTTTCACTGCACGAAATCCAATAATTGTTTTCGTGAAAGTAACGAATTACCTCATAGATAAGTGAAGCTCCTTTCTGCGTACCATCACCTCCAATAATGTATACCTAACATAGAAAGATCAAATCATCTTTGGTTCAGACATCATGTCCAAATTTGATAGAAAATTTAAAATATTTTTAACAAGTATACACCTGATTTATTCCCCTATCCTCAATGTTGTCTACTATCTTGTGGGTATCATGTCCTCCACGAGATGTTCGGAGAAAGGTGCCACCACGTTTATGGATATCGTTAACCACTTTAGGAGTCAACATCAAAGTATTTTTTGAATAGAACCCTTTATATCCTCCCTAAATCAGTTTCAAAATTAAAGTGGTGACCAATAAGAACTCAATGAAAGATCATAAAAGAAAAATGCTAAGTTGCTAACAATGCCCAAAGGGCATGGGTTAATGAAACAAAAAATAGTAAGTATTTACAATTTATTACTCCCTTTCCTTCTTGTAAGAATCAAACTAGATTTTTTTCATGATCTTTTTATAAGAATCAATATAGAATGTTCCTACATTAACCTCTTAACAAAATATCCCTAATAATGAGTCAATTCTCATACATAGTAGTAGACAGAAAACATTAGTCATAGGCTTTTCTGAGGCCAAGGAATCAAACTTCACTTCTTCATATGCACAACATTATGGGAACTTTATTTGCCTCTTCACATGCATAGCCAATAAAACTTAAAGCAATAAACATATTACTAACCAGAGACATTAGAAGAATTACAGCCAGTATATTATAGGAAAAACAAATAAAAGTATGTCTCATTGATGTTAGGCAAAATTTTAGAAAAAAAAATGCCTTTGTGGTAAATTTGAATCTAGTAACTTGGTTAATTACTTTATTCTTATGAATTAGTTAGTTTATTAGGAATTATAAAAATGAGTGGATGGAGCATATTGAAAATATAAATTCAATTCAAAATAGTTGACATTAAGNTATATATATATATATATATGTATATATATATAACATTAATCTTATAGCTTGCTGAATGAAATGAATAAATTAAAATTTTTGTCATGATCTGCTGCATATAAATGTAATGTATATCCGTTAGATGAGTCAAATTGCCCAACTGAAGCAGATTCCAGATCTTTTTCACTAATGAAAGTTTACAGGAGCCAGGCTGAAGGATACACTAAAACAGACCCTCAATCACTCTGGAGTAAAAACACAACTTTCGACACCCTTTCTTTGTTTAGTCTTTTAGAACCAACTAAGTTGTACGGTCACATTTCCTTTTCATATGATACAATACAGTAGCATGTAAAATAGGAAAATGGTTAGATCTACTGGATAACGCATTTGAAGGACATTTCTTCCAAAGATTAACTCATCAAGCTATTTGTTAGAGGCAGGCAACCTTCATTAAAATAAATAAAAAATATTCTTGAGAAACTAAAGAAAATACCTATATATTTCATATTCACTGCCATCTTTCGAAACATTGTGAAATGATTCTGCAATAAAAAATGTCAATA